CCGTTGACGCGATGTTTAGGTCCAGCTCAATGATATCCAGCTTCATCTGGTCGGTCAGTTGCGGGCAAGATGTGACATACCGTTTGCAAAATTACGAATCCCGCCACGCCAAGACCCGCCTTACGAAGCAGCTTGATTGGTTGGGGATGATTGATTGATCTGCGCATGCCCACAGTGTCATAAACTTACTTTTTCTAAATTAATCCAGCTCAAGTAGACTGAGCTGGTAAGATTTTTCAACCTCAAAGTACAAGTAACTTACTAAAAGTGAGTGTTAATAGCAGGTTGATAAAAACTGATTAAGGTCAATTTACTATTTTTAATTAAATACCATGTTTGCTTTTACAGTGTAGTTGAAATATCATAAGTCTACACATCTTTTTCCTTTGCAATTTTTCACAATAATACTATTAATATTTGTCATAAACTGGGTAGTGCTATCGCCTCACAGCAAGAAGGTCTCTGGGTCAGTTGGCATTTCTGTGGAGTTAGCATGTTCTCCCCATGTTTGCGTGGATTTCCTCCATGTGCTTCGGTTTCCTCCACAAGTCCAAAGACATGCGCCATAGATAAATTGGGTAGGCTAAATTGTCCGTAGTGTATGTATGTAAATGAGTGTATGAGTGTTTCCCAGTGATGGGTTGCAGTTGGAAGGGCATCTGCTGTGTAAAAACATGCTGGATAAGTTGGTGATTATGAGAAGTAGACAAATTGAGTTGCAGTAACTTTTAAAATTTAGTTATGAGACAGAATATTTAAGTTATGAGTACTTGAGTTTCTCGCAATCTTATTGAAATGTGTTAATGTTATTATATTATATTTTATTTTATTTTATTTTATTTTATTTTATTTTATTTTATTTTATATATTATATTATATTATATTATATTATATTATATTATATTATATTATATTATATTATATTATATTATATTGATAATAACAATAGTAGTACTAATAATAATGATAATTTTAAATAATATACACTAAAAAGATTAATAAGAAAAAGTCAAGACAACTAATCAATTTTTTCATGTTGCTTTAAGGGTAACACTTTAAAATAAGGTTCATTAATGCATTTACTTACATGAACTAATCATGAACAACACATGTACAGCATTTATTAATCATAATTTAACTTTTACTAATGCATTATTAACATTCAAGTCCATGCTTGTTAACATTAGTTAATGCACCATGAGTTAACATGAACTAACAATGAACTACTGTATTTTCATTAACTTTTATTAACATGAATTAATACTGTGGTAAATGTATTGTTCATTGTTTGTTCATGTTAGTAAATGCATTACTTAACATTAACTAATGAACCTTATTGTAAAGTGTGACCGCTTTAACTAATAATTTAATAATTTATACAAAGTTTGACTTAATAGTCAGTTTAATTGATGTAAGCTGAGATGACTTAAAAAGTTCATTTGATTAAAAAATGAAGGCAGCAAGATTTTTTACAGCATACATAATTGTGTGGAAAAATGATGTGCTCTTCCATTTCATGATATAAGAAATCTTATCTATTGACACACCGATAGAAAAACACCTCGTCTCCGACCACAGTGTTTACTTCCATTTGTTCGGCCATCACACTTGCTGCAAATCCAGTTTGCTCTCAGTCTTTTATATGTGTGGCTCAAGGGTACAGCGCGGAAGATTGATGCTGTTTGCACACGTGGAGAGGTAAAGGAGAGCAGCCCGCACGCACTGACAATTCACTTACTGCTTGTTTATTGGTTTGTGGGAGCTATAATGTCTCTATCGCCTTCAAATGAAATCATTCAAGGTATGGAGCCATTCATTGTGTGGAGTCCTTTAGGATTCTTTGTGTTTTTGTCTCCACATCATCGGAATTTTACCCCAACATTCTGTTATAAATTGCTTGAAAAAATCTAATTCTGAAAGGCGTAGAGAGTCATGAATTTTTTAGACCTCTGGTATTTGAAAAGGCTGCAGGAATGAAAATTAAATGAATGGATAAAGGATAGTGCTTCACTTATTTATTTTTCTCTTCAGTGTGAAGATGAATCATTCTGTTGAGATTGTTTTTCATAAAGCGCTTATTAAAATGTACAGTAGTACATGGTGCGCTTTATGAGTCTAGTTTTTTATGTATAGTGCATGGGCATCAACGTGGCTCAGTGGGTAGCATGGTCACCTCACAGCAAAAAGGTCGCTGGTTCAAGCATTAGCTGGGTCAGTTAGCATTTCTGTGTTGAGTTTGCATGTCTTCCCTGTGTTCGTGTAGGTTACCTCCGGGTGCTCCCATTTTCCCGCCAGTCCAAAGACACGCACTATAGGTGAGTTAAATAAGTTAAATTGGCCACAATGAGTGTGTGTTTGAATTAGAGTGTATGGGTCGTTCCCTGTGATGGGTTGCAGCTGTAAGGGTATCCGCTGCATAAAAACATATGCTGGATAATTTGGCGGTTCATTCTACTGTGGCGACCCCTGATTAAAAAAAGGACTAAACCGGACCAGGGGGGACCAAGTCGGAGCACTCACTCTGGTCCCCCAGGCTCTGCACTGGTTAGGAAAATTCCAAATCAAACCAAAACAATCGATTACAATTGGCGTAAGATTGGCAATCAAAATTCAGGACATTGCAACCTGCAGAACCTAGGGGGAAAAAGGGACTGAGCCGAAAAGAAAATGAATGAATGAATAAGATATGTGCATTACTAAAGCCATGATTTTGAAGCAAAAAAAAATTAAGAGCAAACTGAATTTTTGTTTGTTGCATTCACACAAAATGCAATGAAAACTTATTTGTCATTCATAATCTTCAGGTGGCAAAAAAAAAAAAAACATTTTCAGTACATTTTAACAAACTTAGAAAAATTTTGATGTTGGAAAAATATGTTACAGTGCTCTTAAATGTGGATTGTGATGCTGTTGTGAAAGCTGATGATCTTAAACATTGAATCCTATAACATTCAAAATGCATATGGACCAAACATGAAAATGTTTTTATGCTTTTCCTCTGCTTTAGGCAGTGTTTTAATTACTTAAGAAAAAGATTTCTGATCAACACATCAACATGGCATTCAGTGTTTCATTAAAAATGAGATGTGAAACTGTTGTTTTGTGTTGGTTTATTATGCACGTAATTAGCTCTGAACCAACAATAATTAAATACTAATGTTTTATAATGCATGACTACATTGTGAAAAATCCTAATTGCCTTAAATTTTTAAGCTGAATCAAATTAACCTTATTAGTCCATTGAACTTATATTATGTTAAACTGACTTAAAACAGCTTGGGTAACTTAAAAAATAAAGTTAGAACATGATTAACTCACTTCTACTTCACGCAACTTTTTTTCTAGACCATGATGTAAACTGTGAGCTGTTGTGGTGCAAACAGTCAAGAACAGAGGTGTGATAAGCTTGCGTGTGTTTTTATTTTTACTCTCAGCTGAACTGGACCCTTATATAAAACATGAAATGGATTTTTGTGAGTCAAATAATGACCATCTCTTTCACTGGGAGCTTGTTTATGTTGTGTTGTGAGTCTCCCAAGGATTTGGCACTTTTCTAATCTCACAAAAGGCCTGAAGTTTTCTGGGCCTCCATCTTTCTCCTATGGGCTTTGGCTTGATGCGGCCAACCTGGCCGAGAGTGAAAAACTGCCTGCTCTGTTGAACCTGGCCAAGTCTTCTCAAAGCCATAAAGTTACTAAATTTCAGAAATATATATTCACAGTTAGGCAGTTCAAAAGTTTTCAATATTGCACTCTAAGAAAATGTGCTGTGTTAATATAAATAAATTTGATTTAATTATTTTTTTATCTTATTTTTGTTTAAATGTTTTGGAAAAAGTGTCTTATGCTCAGCAAATAAATTAATATTTAAAAACTTTATTTATTCTTGTGATATTTACATGCATGTGCATAACTTTATTGTCACTTGTCCTTCAAAACTGTTGCTAAGATGGTCTTCAAGAAAACTTGTTTTTAATAAATTACACATACATTTACTTTGTTAGGTACACATTACTAGCACTGGGTTGGACCCCCTTTTGCCTAAATCCTTTGTGGCATAGATTCAACAAGGTTCTGGAAATATTCCAATGAGATTTTGGTCCATATTGAACTGATAGCATCACACAGTTGCTGCAGATTTGTCAGAATCTTCTGTTTCACCACATCCTCGAGGTGTTCTATTAGATTGAAATCAGGTGACTACGGAGGCCATTTGAGTACAATGAACTTATTGTCATGTTCAAGAAAGCATAATGTTATTCTGCTATTACATTCTGCATAATTTGTTATCCTGCTGGAAGTAGCCATCAGAAGATGGATACACTGTGGTCATAAAGAAATGGACACGGTCAGCAACAGTTCTCAGATAGGCAGTGGCGTTGACACAATGCTCATTTGGTACTAAAAGGCCCAAAGTGTGCCAAAAAAATATCCCCCACACCATTACACCACCACCACCACCTCAAGCCTGAACCGTTGATATAAGGCAGGATGAATCCATGCTGTTGACGCCAAATTCTGACCCTATCCAACTGTCGCAACAGAAATTGAGATTCATCAGACCAGGCAAAGTTTTTGAGCCTGTACAAATTGTAACTTTATTTTCCTGTTCTTGGATGACAGGAGTTGCACCTGGTGTGGTCTTCTGCTGCTGTAGCCCATCTACCTTAATGTTCGTTGTGTTGTGCATTTAGAGATGCTCTTCTGCATACCTTGGTTGTAACGAGTGGTTATTTGAGTTACTGTTGCCTTTCTATCAGCTCGAACCAGTCTGGCCATTCTCCTCTAACCTCTGGCATTAACAAGAGATGTCTGTGCGTGAAAATCCCAGTAGATCAGCAGTTTCCGAAATACTCAGACCAGCCCGTCAGGCACCAACAACCAAGCAAAGTCACTTAAATCACCTTTCTTCCCCATTCTGATGCTCTATTTGAACTGCAGTAGACCGTCTTGACCATGTCTGCATGCCTAAATGCGTTGAGTTGCTGCCATGTGATTGGCTAATTAGAAATTTGCATTAATGAGCAGATGTACAGGTGTAGCTAATAAAGTAGCTGGTGAGTGTATACAGCAATATTAGTAAGATTCTGAATGGTTTCAGGCTTTCACAAAAATATTAAACATACAAACTGTACACAAACATATGCTTAAAAGAAATAAATGACATTTATGGTATATTTAATTAGAAAACTATTATTGTTGAAATATCTAAATACCATAATGTATTTGATTTAAAAAAAAATGCACTCTTGTTGATCATGAAGAAGTTTTTTTTTTTTTTTATAAAATCTTAAGATTTTATATTTTCAACTGCACTGCTTGTATATTATGTATTTAATA